GCATAGGTATTTCTCCAGTTACTACCTCACTTGAGCCCCAGATTCTTGTTGCTAAGCAAGACAGTTGCAAAAGTGAGCTTTTGCCCCCTGTCTTGCGACCTTTCTTGCCGCTGTTGTGGAGCGAATCACAGCAGTTCTTCAGTTAAACACACAGTTATTAAGTGAATCCACCTGGCTTCCTCATTGACTTGGCTTATCCGAAAGTGAACACTGCAGTGGTCATAAATAGGAAGCACTTGCCATGCGTCCAAATTTTGACCACCTGACCCTGGAGAGGCTTGCAATGATCATAAGTCACTTTTTTCAGTGCTGTTGTAACTTTGGTCACTAAATGAACTGTTGTAAGTTAAGGACTGCCTGTAAACATGCAGGAAGATTCTCTTGCCCCCCCCTCCCCCCCCCCCCCCCCAGCAAATATCACCCTGCTAGAGTTAAAATGAAATGAAAGTGAAAAACGTATGAAGAACGGTTGCAGGAACTGGGCCTGGCTAGTCTAGGAAAGAGAAGGACCAGGGGAGACAGAATAGCAGTCTTCCAGTATTTGAGGGGCTGCCACAGAGAGGAGGAAGGGGTCAAGCTATTTTGCAAAGCAATCGAAGGCCAGACAATGAACAGTGAATGGAAACTGAACAAGGAGAGAATCAACCAGTAAATAAGGAGAAACTTTCTGACAGTGAGAACAATCAACCCATGGCACAGAAGTTGCCCTCGGAAGTTGTGGGAGCTTCATCCCTGGAGGCTTTCAGGAAGAGACTGGAGTGCCATCTGTCAGAAATGGTGTAGGGTCTCCTCACTTGGGCGGGGGTTGGACTAGATGACCGACAAGGTCCCTTCCAACTCTGATTATCTGTTATCTGTTAAAATTACCCGATTCCTCTCCATTTTTCTTTCAGTTTACTGGCGTCACAACTTTTTTTTGTTGTTGTTTTGAGCTCAGCAACCAGCAAGATCTTTCTGTGTAAAAATTCTGCACAGAAAACACACCTTTTGTGTGTGTGTGTGTTTTTTAACTAAGAGAAGGTCGTTGCACCTTGCAGAAAAAAGACTAATCTTCTGAAACCCCCATTTCCTGGAAAATCTAGTAATGACAGAACCGGTTCAACTGAGAGGTTTTCTGGCATCTGCACAGAGCAGCCTCTGCAATTATGGAAACCTTTACACACACAAAAAAAAACCCCAAGGACTTTAAAGGAAAACGGTGCTTACGGCTGCTGCTCTGTTTTTATGTCATAGGATCAGTTGGTGGGATTCAAAAATGTTTACTACCGCTTCTGTGGGTGTGGCTTGGTGGGCATGGCTTAGTGGGCATGGCGGGGGAAGGATATACTGCAAAATTCCCCTTCCCTCCCCACTCCATTAACCTGCTTTCCAGCTCTGTTCTCCCTGTGCAGGACAACCAAAGAAGACCCAGCCCATCAGCTGGGACTCAGTGGGAGGCAGAGAACAGATGGGGGCGGACCCAGTCAGAGGTGGGATTTTCCAGTTCTCCAAACTACTCAAAATTTCTGCTACTGGTTCTCCAGAACCGGTCAGAACACCACCTTTGCATAGGATGCATTTTGTTCTCCTTTATGGGAAGTCCTCGAGTTGCATCAGTTCATTTAGTGACCCTTTGAAGTGACAACATCACCGGAACCAATGACCTTGAACTATTTTTCACCCTTACGACTGTTGCAGCATCCCCATTGGTGATGCGATTGGCATTCGGGTGCCTGACGACCGCTTCATATTTACGACGGTTTCAGGGTCACGCGATCCCCTTTTTGCGACCTCTGGACAAGCCAAAGTCGATGAGGAAAGCCAGATTCACTTAACGACCGTGTTACTTTATTTTAACAACTGCTGTGATTCACTTAACAAATGCGGAAAGAAAAGTCGTTAAAAAAATGGGACAAAACTCAACACGTTTCTCACGTAGCAACAAAAAATTCTGGGCACCGTTGTGACCGCAAGTCAAGAAGCACCTGTATCTTATTGTAGGCTGCCATTCGTGTGAGGATGGGGGTGGGTGGGCTGTGTAAATTAAATAAATAAATAGTAAAATCTGTTGAGAGACAGCGGGATTGTAGGCAAGGATGCTAGGGACCTGTTGGTGCAAGACAGAGCATTTTTTCAGTCTCTGGAACTCGTTCCTCAAATCTTTTGTTTCTTTTTTCCTCCCTTTTAAAGCAACCCTTGCTTTCTTCCCCTCTTCCTTCCTGTTTCCTTTAATTAAAATTAATTTTAATGGAAGAGCAATATGATGAAGTTGGTTTTATCTTAACCACTAATTCGAGCTATAATTTGTGCATGTTGAAATTGGAGTCTGACAGGCGGATAGCTAACTATTCCCCATTGTGGGTTTTATTTTTATTTTTATTTAAAAAAAATCTGCTTCGTGAATGCTTGGCATTTCAAGTTTGGTTGAAAAACAATTTGGAAGTGGGTCCCCTGAGCTTTCATGGAGCTGAAATGTAAGAGTGCATTTTGGTAAGGAGGGGAGATGAAAGATAAAGAGAGGAAGAGAGGAGGAGGGAGAGGAGAGAAGGAGGGAGGGAGAGGAGAGGAAGGGGGAGGGAGAAGGGAAAGGGAGAGAATAAAGAAGGGAGAAAAGGAGGGAGGGAGGGAGGGAAGGGAGAGTGGGGGACAGAGGAGGGGAGAAGAGAGGAGAAGGGGTGAAAGAGGAGGGGAGGGAAGAAAAGGGAGACTAGGGGAGGGGGGAGGGGAAGCTAGGGAAGGAGGGGAGATGAGATGAGGATAGAAGAGACAGACAAGAGGAGGAAAGAGGAGGGAAGGGAAGAAGAGAGGGGAGAGGAGAGGAAGGGAGACTAGGGGAGAGGAGATAATGCTGGAGGAGGCAGGAGAGGGGAGGAAAGAGGGGGGAAGGGAAGAAGAGAAGGGAAACTAGGGGCAAGGGAGGAAGAGTGGGGAGCGGGGAGGGGGAAGAAGAGGGGAGAAGAGACAGCAGAAGGGAGGGAAGAGGAGGAGAGGGAAGAGGAGATGAAGCCTGAAGAGACAGAAGAGGGGAGGAAAGAGGAGGGAAGGGAGAGAGGGGAGGAGAGAAAGGAAATCAATAGGGAAGCTGACAAGGATGCCAGTTGTCCTGTGAGGTCTCATTTAATGACCACGACAACAAAAAGATTGTAAAATGTGATGCGGATCACCTGATGCCTTGCTTAACGACTATACCGCTTAATGATGAATTTTTTCGGTCCCTATTGTGGTAAGTCGAGGATTACCTATAGCGAGTAACCCACTAAGTCTGATCATTAAGTAACATTCCCCCAATCTGAGCCTCTAAGGGAGGCCTTAAATCCTTCTCTGCATTACACAGCTGGCTAAATCTCCAAGCTGGCTCAAGGAAATGAACCCCCAGCTGTTCCTCAACCCAACACAGCATACTAACAGCCGAGTTACTAACAGCCGAGTTATCCCGTCAGGGGTCTCCAACCTTGGCAACTTTTAAGACTTGTGGACTGTTCCTCAGCCAGCAAAGCCAGCAGACCTCCAGTGATGGAGCATCCACAACTTCTGGAGGCAAGCTGGTTAATAATTTCCACAGTCAGGAAATTCCTCCTTAGTTCCAGGTTGCTTCACTCCTTGATTAGTTTCCATCCGTTGCTTCATGTCCTGCCTTCTGGTGCTTTGGAGACTACGTTGAGTCCCTATTGTTGTAGGTGCTTCATAACTGGAGGTTTTTAAGGAGAGACTGGACGGCCATTTGTCTGAATTGGTATAGGATCTCCTGCTTGAGGAGGGGGTTGGACTAGAAGACCTCCAAGGTCCCTTCCAATTATGTTGTTCTGTTCTGTTCTCTACTTAGCTCAACCACTGTATCCTTTGAAGACTCCGAAAGGGAACAGATTGGAAGATGAGAACTACTCCAGTCAATAGTAATAAACAATTCAGAAAGAATGGTTTGGCACCCTTTCAGACTCATCGATGTTATTGCAATCGCAGCTTTCAAAAACTTAAGACCTTTTAACAACATTAAAGTTAGTTTGAAAAGGTGCTTCCTACCTCCTGGTTTTTTTTTGCAAGACCAATCTTTTTCTTGCATCTTTGCTTCACCAAGTTTGACACACTCAATTCACATACTTTCTTGAAATGAGATGGTTTTTAAAGATAACCTGCCCAACAGGACTAGGATCAGAGTGGTGAATGAAAAGGATCGCCCAATTCTCCATTAAAACCAGGCCTTTTTTAAAAAAAAGATATTTTGGAGAAAAATAAAGAAATAGCAAAGTGGAGCTGCTGAAAATTAAAAACCCCAGGTTCTCCCATTGCGCAGATTTCCAGCAATGTCTTGGGGTTCCCAAAATATCCCATCAAAATGATTTAGCATCCTAAATGTGAGGATTCTTCTAGTACGGCGTTTTTCACGACTTGACCACTTTAAGATGTGGGGACTTCAACTCCCAGAATTCCCCGGCCAAGATGGTTAAAATCCACATATCTTAAGGTTGGCATGGGGAATTCTGGGAATTGTAGCCCATCCACCTTAATCTTGGTTTCGGAGTCCTGGGAGTTGAAGTCCACCCATCCTAAGGTTGGAATTCTGGGAGTTGAAGTTCATATAATCTTAAACTTGGCTTGGGAATTCTGGGAGTTGAAGTCCACACATCTTAAAAGTGGTCAAGTTGAGAAACACTGCTCCGTGCCAATCCATCCTTCAATGGCCATACCTACACTGGTGGCCATTTTGGGAGCATGCCTATTTGCATGCCTGTCTAATTCCAAACAGGATGTGGGGTCCTTGGTGCTCTCTGAGCTTGGTGCTTTTCTTCCAGACGTCTCACCACCTCACTAGGTAACATCATCAGTGCAGTAATGACACTTCTGCAAGAAAACCACCAAGCTCAGAGAGCACCAAGGAGTCAACAGCTACAAATATTCTTTTCTATAAATAATGGGACACGTCTCTCTTTTTTTAAAATGCCACAAACAGCAAAAGGAACATGGGTTCTCCTTGGGAAGCTCTGTGGAAATGTCATCCGTGGTGGATCTCCCGCAACTCTTACCTCTTCCCATTGGTGAATGTACCGGATTAGACGGGAGAGGCGTAGAAGCCGCAGGAGACTCAAAATTTTGGTGAAGCGGACGATGCGCAAGGCGCGAGCAGTCTTGTACATCTCGGAATCCATGCCCTTCTCCACAATGAGGAAGATATAATCCACCGGAATAGAGGAGACAAAGTCCACCACAAACCAGGTCTTCAGGTACTTCTTCTTGATCCGCTCGGGATCCAGGATGATCTCCGTGTTGTCCTCAATGACGATGCCTGTCCGGAAGTTCATCACCAGGTCCATCAGGAAGAAGGTGTCCGACACCACGTTGAAGACGATCCAGGGCGCCGTGGTCTCCTCTTTGAAGAAGGTGATGCCGACAGGAATGATGATCAGGTTGCCCACCATGAAAAGCAACATTGTGAAGTCCCAGTAGAACCTGGAACAGAAGGAAGAACATGGGAATCAAGACACGGGAGAACATCAGAGCAAGCCCTGGGTCAGCGCTAGGTTATTGCTGTCCAGTTAAGACATTGAGTGGATGCATTCAGATAGTATACTAACAAGGAGCCTCTGGTGGCGCAGTGGTTAGAGTGCAGTACTGCAGGCTAATTCTGCTGCCTGCTGGCTGCCTGCAATTTGGCAGTTCAAATCCCGCCAGGCTCAAGGTTGACTCAGCCTTCCGTCCTTCTGAGGTGGGTAAAATGAGGACCCAGATTGTTGGGGACAATAGGCTAACTTTGTAAACCACTTAGAGAGGGACTGTGAAGCGGTATATAAAGTCTAAGTGCTATGGCTATTGCTATACTAAATTTAGACTGCATTTACCTTAAGTCTGCTTTTTTTTTCAAGAGGATCTAGGGTTTATTGTGCAACCCAAGAATGCTGGTTTATGTTTTGTGTTAGGAACACAGAATATAAAATATTATATAGGGACCTTTGGAGGTCTTCCAGTCCAACCCCATCTCAAGCAGGAAACCCTATACAATGGAACCTCGGGTTGCGACCGTAATCTGTTCCAGGACTAAGGTCGCATCCCGATTTGGTCGTGACCGGAAGCATGACCGACTGCGCATGCGCGGACAAAAATTTGCGCGGACTGCACATGCGCAGAAGGGGAAATCGCCGATTCTGAGGGCGTGGAAAGGGAATCTGCCGCGGTTGGGTTTGTTTGCCACCCGATTCAAAAATCATATGGATTTGTTGGTCGGAACCCGATTTGGTCATGAACAGAAGCATTTGTGACCCGAGGTTCCACTGTACTGTTGCAGACAAAATGGCTGCCCAATCTCTTCTTAAAAACCTCCAGGGATGGAGTACCCACAAGCTGTTCAAACTGGTCAATGTGTTAAAGTTTGAAGCCATCTTCTGTTTATTCTCCTCCTCCTCCTCCTCCTTCAAAGTCCTTGGTACTCTCTGTTATTGTTATATATGTTATATATGTGCTTTCTGTTATATGTTCAAAACATTCTCAAAGATCCAACTCATCCTGGGCACCCCACCCAACCCCCCCTTTTTTTTTGAACTGTTACCATCTGGCAGATGGTACAGGATAATAAAAACAAGGACAAATAGGCTGAAAAACAGCTTCTACTGCCCTGGGATAGAATTCCACTGCATAGTGCAGTGTTGGTGCGGTGGGGGTGTGCGTGTTCAATTCAATGTGTGGAGGGTGAAGGATGTGTGTTTGTGTTTATTTTCATGGTCATGATGTGCACTGAAGACGGTGTTTGATTTTGTTGTACGAGGTGCAATGACAATAAACTAAACTAAATTAAACTAAACTAAACTATTGGTAAGTCAGAACAAGCCATTTGCATATAAACTGAGAGCAAACCCCACTCCCTTCTAACACTGATGCTGTTACCTAGTCGGGTAATGAAACGTCTGCAATGAAGCAAACAAGCACAGAGAGCACTAAGGACCCCAGAGTCTTCCACCTCCTTCCTGCAAACCCCATTCCCTTCTAGCACTGATCATATTACCTAGACAGGTAATGAAACGCCTGCAATGAAGCAAACAAGCGCAGAGAGCACCAAGGACCCCACAGTCCTCCACCTCCTCAGTCCTCCCTCCTCCCTGCAAACCCCCACTCCCTTCTAACACAGATGATGTTACCTAGTTTGGTAATGAAACGTCTGCAAGAAAACCAGGGAGTATCAAGGACCCGTCACTGTTCAACCCCGAGCCACAGATCTTCTCTTCTATTGTTATCCTTAAGGTTCTTTAAAACCAAGATCCTTCCTTTTTTATTAAAAAGAAAGAGAAGACTTGGCATACTTTATCTAGAAGTTCAGAGATATATATTGTGGCTAAGCTTCTTATCAAAATGTTAAACTGCAGAAACTTAAAATAAAATAAACCCAGGTATATCTGTCATCTCAGAGATGACAGCAACTAACAACAGAAAAATCTTCTGAGGTCAAAACTACCATGGATGATTTTCACAGGAGGAATGCAAAAGCCTGAATCCCCCCTCCTTTCCCCCCCCCCCTCTCTCTCACACACACACACAAATCAGGATATATATATTTTCAGGATCTTGTTCCACTTCTTCCTCCTGCTAGAAGCCTGGCTGACTTTCTCCAGAAGCCTGCAAGGTCAAAAGCAGATAGCCAAGGTTTTTGAGTTCCAGTTTAGCCATGGCTTCTGCGTCGCTCTAGAATGTGTCAGCCAGAATTTTTTAAAAAAAAATAATAATAAATAAAAATAACAAAGCATTTCTCCCTTGTCCTCAGTCCACCTCAATAGGCGCCTAATACAAATATGGACGAATCAGAGGAAGCAAGACAGAGGATCATTTATTTATTCCCTGGCTTTTTTTTGGTACTGCCCTCCCACTGCCATTATAATAAGATCATCTTTTATTTCTGCAGGAAAGGAACATTTATTTCCCCGCCAGTTTTTAATTTTATTTTGTGTGTGTGTGTGTGTATGGTACATTGGCTTGCTCGTTTTGCAATAAGCTGGCAGCGCTGTTGGTGCTGAAAGAAATGGGCATAATTGAAATGACTGTGGGTTGTGGTTTTTCTATTTACACCCCACCATTGCTGTTCCTGTTTGTTTTTCTGTTGGGCATAAAATATTTGTCTGGAGTCATAAAGACAAGCGGCCCTCTTTGATTCCCTGTAGTGATTGCCTGTGGAATGGGAAAATTCTTGTAAATGCCAGTCATCCCAGAAAGAGGAAAATTAGAATTTGGGGGATGCTGTGCTGAGTCCTGGATACCTTTCAGATCACCCCAATAGCTACAGGTAGACAAGTAGTCCTTGATTTATAACAGTTCATTTAGTGACTGTTTGAAGGTATAATACCACTGACCTATAGCAATAGCAATAGCACTTAGACTTATATACTGCTTCACAATGCTTTACATCCCTAAGTGGTTTACAGAATCAGCCTATTGCCCCCAACTGCTGGTGACCTTACAGCTGACTCTGTAAACCACTTAGAGATTGGTGTAAAGCATTATGAAGTGGTATAGAATAAGTGCTATTTGCTGTCTATTGCTATCTTCTCAATTCTGGGTTTTTTATGTCTTGACCATGTAATATTTTGCCTTGGACTATGTTTCTTTTCTCTTCTTCCTTTGGTCATTCATGTAGGTCAGTTTGGTCTCTCCAGTACTCGGTCAGCTTTCATCACGTAGTAGTTTCAGTGCATCTCCTTCACTGTCCTTCAGATATTCTTCCATTCTCTTTTTAATTCTCCAACTGTTTGGTACACTTGCAGTATTCCACGCCCACCTATTTTCTGCGTAAGTAGAACCTTGTCAACGGCGCTGCGTGGATGAAGAGTATGATTCATTGTCCCTATTTCTTTTCTGGCCTTCCTATCCAGCCAGGGCTTTTAGTTCTGCTTCAATCCAGTCCATTATTCCAGCTGTGTGTATCTAATGAGTGGAATTACTCAGGTGTTAATTGCTATAAAGGCATTTCCTCCCCTGAGTTTGGACATTAAGATCTTCTTCAGTCTCATGATGTAACCATTTTCTTGACTTCACTGTGCTCGACGTGGTCAGTCTGAAGGGTATTTGCAGCGATCGCTTTCATCCAGACTCTCTGTTATTTTCCTAGGGCGTCTCAATTCCTTCCGTTTTCATTATTTTTCCTCTGTTGACAAGCGAGGAGAGTGGACACATGCTTTTCCGGTCCGAATTCCAGTGCAATATCTCGGCTCAGCCTTCTTCCATTTTCTGGTGGATTCTGTGCTGATTTTTTGTATACAAAAATCAGTCAGTTTCAGGAGACTGGGAGGGAAAGGAATCCTCCAAAGCATCTTTTCCCCCCTCCCCCCCCCAAAAAAACACATTTCTAAAAAAAGTTTCACTTTACCAAGGTTTGTCATGTCCTCTGAATTTTACAGTGCTCTCCCCACACCCAAACTGGGAGGGCATTGCAAGAAGCCTCAGTGAGATTATACCCTCAGAATCAGAATAGAGCTGGAAGGGACCCTGGAGGTCTTCTAGTCCAGCCCCCTGCTCAAGCAGGAGATCCTATACCATTTTCAGGCAAGTGACTGCCCGGTCTCTACTTAAAATCCTCCAGCGATGACTTCTGGAGGCAAGCTGTTCCACTGGGGTTAATTGTCCTGTTAGGAAGTTCCTCCTTAAATTCCAGGTTGCTTCTCTCCTTGGTTAATTCCCACCCATTGCTTCTTGTCCCCTCAACCCTTTCCTGATGACAAAATGTAACCTGAGCTTGTACAACAGAAATTCTCAGAATTAAAAAGCTGAAAATGTTGCAAAGTTTTGAGCTGGCACACGAAGCCTCTCGAATATTGTCCATTCCTGTTCTAAGTCAGGAGATTTTGTACCGAGCCCTGAGCCTCTGCATGCTTGCCTTGGATCCCATTTCACAGATGAGGAAAACTGAGGCGCTGCAGACAATCCCAGCAAGCAGGACCAGCACTGGTTAATAAATCAGAATTTGACTATCACCCATCTACAGGTTTTGCACTCTTCTTGTTGTCTTCCTTTTCTGCTTTCCCTGCCTCTTTCCGAAAAGGAACATGAGCCAGACCCAAGGAGTCACTTAATATGTCCCATTGCAGCAGACCAAAAGAAAAAGTCAGGAGGTCTTTGAAGAGTCACCTGTCATGGCTGCAAGTTGCCCTTGGGTTGCTGCAAACTATAGCTCACTCCCTTCTTTAAACTAAGCCTGGTTTCTATAGCTCAGCTCCTTTCAGGCATTTAGATATATGGCTGCAGATAACAGAATGAAGGAAAAAGAAAGGCTGGTGTTTTGACAGACCACTGGGGGAATGCTGACCAGACAGGCAGAGGCTGGGATGGAGGGAGGGAGGGAGGAGATGGGAGGGAGGATACGGAAGGAAAGAAGGAGATTGGCGGGAGGGTGAGAGGGAGAGAGAAAGAAGGAAATGGAAAGGAGGGAGAAAATAGAGGGGAAGGAAGGAAGGAAGGAAGGAAGGAAGGAAGGA